TATATTTTTTAATTATAAAATTTAAGTGAGTTTGCTGATTAATTTGTAACTTTCTGTGATTTAGGTAATCTATACTATTATTTGTGAATGATTTTTTGCAAGAAATCTCTCACGTTGAAAGTTAGAACGGTTAATATCGTTTATACCCTTAATGAATAATTAAAAAAATTAATTTAATTAAACATAAATAAAAAACGAATTTCAATGATTTTAGATTTATCTTTATCTAAAACTATTTTATATTGGGTTATAAAGTTTTTATTAACCTTGAAAAATAATTATCTTAGTTAATGTACTTGAAAATAATTATATTAGTTAATATATAATTAATTATAAATTCAAATAGAATTTTATTTATTTGATAATTATCCTTATTTTTTTATATTATGTGATAAAGTCTTTATCAACCTTGAAAAATAATTATATTTGTTAACATATAACTTGAAAAATAATTATATTTGTTAACATATAATTAATTCTAAATTTAAAAATGAATCTCATGAATTTGATAATTATCTTTATCTAACTTTTTTATATTGTGTTATAAAGTCTTTATTAACGTTGAGAAAATAATTCTATTTGTTAATATATAGTTAATTATGAAAAACAATTTGCAAAGAATTTATGTATAGATAATTTATATTGTGTTATTTAAAACATTATTAAACATAATTTTTTATACTTTTTTGTTATGTCTAAAAACGATATTAATTTATTACTAAATGTTTCAAGTTTATGAGTATTTTCAAATATAAGTTGTGTATTGAAAATTATTTATATGATGATGAAAATTTTATAAATAAAAAGAATTTGTTTAGTTTATTATTAAATAGTTTGAGTCTATGAACAATAATTTATTATAATTTACATAACTTGATTATATATTTATTTATAGATATTAGTAAAATTATTAAGCCCGCAAGTGCGGGCAAAACACCTAGTATACTATTATTTGCGAAGTGATTTTTCGCAACGGAGCTCTCACGTTAAAAGTTAGAGCGGTTAATATCGTTTATACCCATAATGAAATTTTTATATATAACTAATTTTATTATTAAAAACGAAATTTAAAAAATAAAATTAGATAAGTACAGTATGTTATTATCTTAGATAATAAAGAATAATTAATATAATAAGTTTATAAAAAACAAAATAAGATAATTCTTATATATGTTATTATTATCTGAATATAATATTGTAACAACATGATAATGCTTATAGATCTTAATTTTATATAAAATTGATATTGGCTTCTAAAAATAATATCATTATATTATTAAATTTAAAAATTAAAATATAAAGTTGATTTTAATTAAATATTAATCAAACAAAAACATTTATATAAATATACTTTTAATTATATAATTAAATATTAGGTATTAAAAATTGAAACGGTTCAAGTTAATGATACCTTTAATGAAATTTATATATTTATATGTAAATTAGTTAAAACCAAATTTTATGTTAGTGATATAAATTTATATGTTACTATATTAGTTAATTTATTATAAATTAATAGGATAATTATCAACATTCATGCATATTTAAAACATAAGATATCTTATAGAATATTATAAAATTATCTGAAAATAATCATTTTATTGTGAAAAATAAAAATGTAAGTTATGAAACAATTTAAAATTAAATATTAAGAAAAAATATAAATATATTTTCAAAAATATTTTATTATGTGGATGTTTTTCAACACTATGATAAGCATATAGATTTTAAGGAAAAATCATATAAAAATATTTTTAATGTTTAATTTAGGTTTTTTAAAACTATAGAAAATAACTTATACTCTTATTCTAGAATTAATAAAACAAAAAATAATAAATATTCATAAGAAAGTTATGCCCGCATATGCGGGCACAACACTTAGTTTATGTTAAGACTAGGTGATTTTCCCGTGCTCATGCACGGGTATGAATATTTATGAAGTAAAGATATTGTAATATATTCTAATTTATTAATTTAGATAGATGTTTACTTTTAATTATAAATTAATTTATAATTTATATGTATAACTTATATTAATAATATTATATTATTTTAATTAGACATATGATTTGGGAGATGTTATATTTAATTGGTTTGGTTGTTTTTTTTAGTCAATAGTCGATTTGGTTATACTTGTGTTTTTATATTGCATTTATTTTTTCTGAATTCACCTATAATATTTTTCTTCTAAATATACTAAAACTTTGATTATTATTGCATTTAGATTAGTTATTGTCTTAAATATGTAAATGTATTTTAGTAAGATTATGTATAACTTAATATATATTATGCTTATAATGAAATTAAAAATAAACTGAAATTTTGACTCAAAATTACATAAATGAATATAACAATAATATTATGAAGTATCATTCATATATATAAATTTTATAAAAAACTAGATTATAACAGTTGGTTAATAATCTTTTTTCTATATTGATATTTTTGAGTCATCATGTAATCTATATGTATAAAAATAAATAAATAATTATTCTAAAATTCTATGTTCTTGTTGTAGTTAGATATTTTATTTTGAGTATAAGTTAGATGCGTTCCGTCACTCGTTTTGTCAATATATTGAGTTATATATTTTTTCTAATTCAAATGAAAATATAATTTTTTTTATTCTAATTAAATCAAATCAAATTAGATTTATTTATCGCTTACAAGTATTTTTATAATATTTTTAATAATTGGATATATGTTGATTTTTAAGAAATATTAAAAAATAAAGTGACGATCAATGGGAATTTACATACAATGTGTATAAAGGTAAAATTCAAAATTTCATGAGCACATATTAATATTTACAATAATTAAATATTTATAAATTCTAAATTATTTTATGTCTTAGATTTCTTAAAAGGTAAACTGAAATGTATTTTAAACAATCTTAAAAATAAGAACTTAGATTTACTTGAGTATTTTGATTATTTATATATTAAGTTACACAAACATACAAAATATAAAATTAAAAATCAAACTAAATATTAAAAAGAATATTTAATAATGATAAAATATAATATTTATATTTCATTAATAGTGTATAGTGCTACGCTATTTAAAAAAGTTTTGAAATTATTTGATCAAATTATTTATTTTTGTAACAAAAAGTTTTAATTTCATTTTTAATATATATCTTAATAAACACTAAATATGGAAAATTTCAAAAATATTATCAAATTTCGTTTATATATAAATATTTATATTTCATAAACGTTTCCTTTTTTATTTATGTGCTTTAAAAAAGTAAACTTAAATTACAAAAATTAAGTAAAATCTTATTATGAAAAAGGAAATACATTATTAACATTTAATATTTTTATTTTATTAATGGTATCTATGTAATCAACCATCGTGAAAATTAACATGAGCGCGACACGTAGGAAACTGGCTTCTCAAATAATATTATAGAGATAGTAGTGGGAAAATCTTGTTCTTGTAATGATAAAACATACAATATCGGATTGATTTGGGTAGTATAAGATTTTTTAAAGTGTTCATGATGATACTAGATCCCTATATTGTATGTGGGATGAAAATCTTCTTAGTTTGTAATCTTTGTTACCACAAATTGGTGAATAAAAATTGGAGTTTGAGCCGTTAAAAAAAAATAAAAAAATTGAGTTTGAGCTTCAAAGAAAAGTAATCAATATGTTCCCAAAAAGGAAAGAAAAAGTATCGTTATGGACTGACAAAAAATTATTGATCCAATTCAAACCGCAACTCTTCGGGTAAAGCCCATCTAAATGAGATACTTAAAAAACCCTGTAAGAGGCCCATTAAAAAAGAAGTAATAAGGCCCAACAGAAATATAGACTAATGGGCTTTTAAAACCCGAAAGAACGGCGCGCGTAGTAAACCCTAAACCCTACCTTATATACTCCTCTCCTCCGTCTTTCAACCAAATCTCCAAACCCTAAGAGAGAAAGCAAAACATTCACAATGGGTAAAGCCAAGGTGAAAGGAAAGCATCGTCTCGACAAATACTACTACCTCGCGAAGGAGCGAGGCTACCGCTCCCGAGCCTCCTACAAACTCCTCGAGCTCGACGCCAAATACTCCTTCCTCCACAAATCCCGCGCCGTCCTCGACCTCTGCGCCGCCCCGGGAGGGTGGATGCAAGTCGTCGTCGAGAAAGTCCCCGTGGGGAGCCTCGTCCTCGGCATCGACCTCGTCCCCATCATCCCCGTCCGCGGCTGCGTCGCGATGCAGCAGGACATCACGAGGCCCGAGTGCAGGTCCAAGGTCAAGCAGGTGCTCGAGAAGCACGGCGTGAAGGCGTTCGATTTGGTGGTTCACGATGGGTCGCCGAACGTGGGAGGGGCGTGGGCGCAGGAGGCGATGAGTCAGAACGCTTTGGTTATTGATTCGGTTAAATTGGCTACGGAGTTTTTGGTTCCTAATGGGAATTTTGTTACCAAGGTTTGTGGGGGTTTAAATTTGGTGTTGTTTGGTTTTGAGTTTTGGGTTTAGTTAGACCGGTTTGTTTAGATTGGTTTATTTAGGTTCATTTTAGTTTCATCACCAGGTTTATATGAAATTGTTAATTAATTGTGTGTATAAACCGGTTTATTTGAAGAGAATAGGTTTATTGAGGTTCAATTTAGTTTCATCATCAGCTTTATATGATACTGTTGATTAATTCTGTGTATAGATAGGCCGGTTTATTTGGAAAAAAATTGTTTATTTAGGTTAAATTTAGTTTCATTACCAAGGTCTGAGCTTTATGTAAAATTGTTGATTAATTTAGGGTTTAGACCTGTTTATTTGGGGGAAAATTGGTTTATTTAGGTTTAATTTAGTTTCATCACCAGCTTTATATGAAATTGTTGATTAATTTAGGGTTTAGACCGGTTTATTTGATGATAATAGGTTTATTTAGGGTCAATTTAGTTTCATCACCAGCTTTACATAATACTGTTGATTAATTCTGTGTATAGACCGGTTTTTTGAGGGTTTAGGCCGGTTTATTTTTGGGAAAAAAATTGTTTATTTAGTTTAAATTAGTTTCATCACCAAGGTCTGAGCTTTATGTGACACTGTTGATTAATTTAGGGTTTAGACCGGTTTATTTGGAGAAAGTTTGTTTATTTAGGTTCAATTTAGTTTCATCACTAAGGTCTGAGCTTTTTATGAAATTTGTTGATTAATTGTGCGTATAGACTGGTTTATTGAGGGTTAGTCTGGTTAATTTGGAGAAAATTGTTTAATTTAGGTTCAATTTGCCGACTAAACTGATTGTTAGAACATTTGTTTTGAGCATTGTTTCTCTCTGTTTAGTTGTGTGTATAAACAGGTTTATTGAGTGTTTAAACCGGTTTATTTGGAGAAAACTGGTTTATTTAGGTTCATTTTAGTTTCATCACTAGCTTTATATTGTTGATTAATTGTGTGTATAGAGCGGTTTATTTAGAGAAAATTGGTTTATATAGGTTCATTTTAGTTTCATCACTAGCATTATATGAAATTGTTGATTAATTGTGTAAGACCGGTTTATTGAGGGTTTAGGCCGGTTCTTGAGTGTTTAAACCGGTTTATGTGGAGAAAATTGTTTTATTTAGGTACCAAACCGATTTTTAGAACATATGTGTTTTGATCATTGTTTCTCTGTGTGTGTAGGTTTTCAGGTCTCGAGATTACAACAATGTACTCTTCTGTCTGAAAAAGGTATGGTTTTAATTGTAAAATGTGATGAAGATTTGTTTTTTTCTTTGGGTTCTGGTTTCTTACCGGTGTGGTTTTTTTTTTTTTTTTTT